CCCCTTGGGAACAGGTGAAGGCTGAGCAGCGGCCTCGCTCCTCCGCGGGCGCTGAGTGTAAAGTTGACACGATCGAGGAGCGGCCTCCGGGAAAGTCACCCGAGATCACTTTTCTTCTGCGATAATTGCGGGGTGGCGGGGAAGAGTCGTGGGAGCGGGAAGGGAGGGTTTCTGTCGCGAATCACGGACGCGAACACTTGCGGGGCTTTCTCCATCCGGGGTGGAAGAGCCTGGGGCTGCCAGCAGCAGCGTGTGCACCCCTCAGGAGCAGCGCAGGCTTCGGAGACTCCGCGGGGACATTAACTGATCTCACATTAGTGAAGCAGCCTTCCGTGCTTGTCACGGCACTTCTTTACTGGGTAGAATTGCAGAGTAAAAGCCACATAACAATGCGATCAGCCCTGTTACCTGTGAAATGCACTGGTAGGTTAAACTGTCATGCCGTTTTATTGTAAAGTACGGGCGATTCAACGGGTGAGATTTCTTTTAGGGTCCTGAGTTTGTTTTATACAATGCTGCCGCTGAAGCTCCTGTACTGTGGTTCTGTCCTAACACCTTGCCTGGTCCTCCTTTTGATCCAGACATTAGTTAATAGCGTGTATCAATTTTATGGCCACAGCTTCAAGCGGTGATATTTGTCTCTCGATTTATGGCTTGGAATTTGACAGCCCATTTTCTGGTTGATTTATTTAAATATGCATTGGTGGAGACAGGGCTCACTGGATTACTCACCACTGGGTCATTGGCTTGAATCTGGCACGAGGCCATGGTTACCTCATCTGCATCACAGAACAGCTGCCTGGTCATCTGAATACATTGGCAGATCACCGATTCGAGTGATTTTACTACTCAGTGACTGAACACACACAGGCTTAGGCACAGAAACACCCTTTCAGAGGCAATAACTTGGAGAGAGCTAGTGGGCACTCAGAGGAGTGGGTGGGTACCATGCATGTCTATGTGAGATTTCTCAGCTACCCTACCTATGTGTATGTGGGAGGGGCACCCTGTTGCTACCACTCCCAAGTTACTTTAATGGAATAAAATTTTAGAGGGAAAATGAGATAAAACATTGGGTTTTCCTCTGGGAGTCAGTAAGCTTTTCCTTACAGTTTTTTTTCTACTGTGATGTTAGCATTGTTTTGCTGGAACATAAACAATTCTCTTCTTGCAAAGACTTCCCGAGATAAATAAAAACCTAATTTTCACATCTGAGAAGCAAAGTCATAGCACCTCCTACTGTTTGTTTTACCATAAAAATTCACTTGCGCTTTTTTTGTGATTAGATTGTCCTGTCTACTTTGCTGTTTTTATTGTTTAACTTCTAAAATGTAAAATAAGATCTAACAAGCTTGTTATCTCTCTTTTCAAGGTATTTTCTCTCGGATATCAACTTTCAAACCTGAAGACATGGCATTCCGGGCATTTTGCGTGTTGATTGGAGTATTTATTTGCTCTATCTGTGTAAATGGATCTTCCCAGCCCCAAGCAAGAGTTTATTTAACATTTGATGGTAAGAGAGTTGATCAACACTTTTGGGAATAACTTATTTGAATCTTAACTTCTCTTTCTTGCCCAGATTCACAATTGATGAATTAAAGACAGTGAGATATTACTGAGGATTGCTTTTAAAAGATTAATGGGGTGCTGTTTGGATAACATGACTATCTGAAACACTGGCTAATAAGCAGAAGGCTTTGCTGCTGTAGAAGCAATTTATAGGAAAGTGCTTGAAGTGTGTGCTGCTCTTTCTCTCAGAAGTTTCTTCAGTGTTTGAGTTGGGTGCTTGGGAAAGTGATGAAGAACTTGAAGCCTAGCATGTTTGGTCTGACCCTCCGCCTGGTGAATCCATAAACCTGCACTTTATGTGACTCCTCAGCAGCAGAAAAAGCTGAAGAGGTTAAATTACTAAAATATTCTACCACTAAATTTGAGACATTGGCCTCAAAATCGGCTACTGCATGTGTTATTCTAATGATGTTTCTTCCATTTTCACAAGGATTTCCTGGTGTTGGCAAAGTATTGTAATCAACTGAAAGGAACCTAAGAGAAGAGTTGGTTTAGATTATTTGCTCTAGAAATTGGCTTAGATTTTTGCTTTAGATTGCTGTTGTTAGATTACTGTTGTGCACAAACATTTCCTTTGGAAGTCTAGGGAACAGCACCACTGGAAATGTTCACCTATGGAACTGCTAACGCTGCTCTGGGGGAATGGTTCACCAGGTCTGTGGAGGAACTTTAATGGTTCAGTGACTTACAGAACGGTGATTTGGGTCAGTCAGGAAGCCCACACTTACTGGGCAAAGGGAATAAGGACAGGGCAAGAACACCAGCTTGCCATGGAAGGTCATTTACATTTTTATCAGAGCTCCTCATACTGTCCGCATGAACCTGTGTCCCTGCACATACTTTTATTTTCATTTGATGAGCAGTACTCTCACAGACCTTCATGTTGCAGGTGAAATTCCCCCTTCTTACCAGTTCTAAACAGCAATGTGACTGACCCTGCCCAGTCAAATGGCTGTCTTTTGTGCTTTCTTTCCACATTACCAAGCACTTTCTCCAAGGTCAACTCTAGCACTTGGGGAGCCATATTTAGAACCTGGAGCATGTGAGTGTCTCGTCACTTCCTTAGCCCAGGAGCCAAGCATGCCCCTTCACACAACAGTTCTGAGAGTGAGCTGTGCAGCATGGAGAGGAAGTCCTTTGGAAGTCCACTTATCTTTCTCAATTACTAAAGCATCTTGCAGTCTGCTCATACTTCCTCCTGGGCTGGCAACTGTGGAATATCAGGCAAGAGTAAGAAAAGGCACTGGGGAGTGATACCATTCCCCACCTACTTCCTGTGTTTCTCCTAGTGAAGGCAGATAGAATAATAGAGTAAGTGTCCAAATCTCTTCTTTCTTCTGTTACATCACAACTAACCCAGACCTTTAACATAAATATGAGCAGCAAGTCCCTAGAGATAATTGAGCAAGTCAGAATTTGAAAAGACGATTACAATTGGTACTGTACAGAAGAAAACTAAGTAATCCAATCAAAACTCAGTACTGTGTAGGACAGTGACTACTGGTTGAAGTGACTACCAGTTATACTGCACTTTTAAAATACTACATGTCTAACATGTTAATAGTCTGAACTTCAATACTAGTTCTTCGAAAATAAAATTTACCTTGATTTCTAAGCTATATAGATTATGGCATAATATAAACTACTGATCTAAAAGTTCTGTAGTTCCTGATATTTTGTCTTTTTCAACAGAGTGACTAGTAAATAACTAATTAGAATATCAGGTAGCTTAAGTACTGTACTATATTAAAGAAGTATATCATAAATAGAATAATAATAGAATAATTTTAATACGATTCCATAATTTCTAAGTTAATAACTTTTTTGAAACTCCTCAAATGAAGTAGTATATACTGCACAAGGTATCACAACAACAAAAAAATACCTTGGACAGAAACTATTATAAAAATCCACAAATTTCAATCATTAATTCAAGATCATTTTAAGAGATGCCACTGTGTACCTGCTCAATATGCTGTTATGTATTTCTTAGTATTTGAAGTATTTATCAATCAAATAATGACTTCTATTAGTAGCATACCAATCAGTTTCTTCAATTTCCGCTAAAATGGTTTATTCTTGACATCAAAATGTGAGCTCTGTACAGGGTCGAAATATATACAAATATGTAGTCATTTAAATAGATATTGATCTATAATTTATTTTATAATTCAAAATTCTGTTACTGTTGCTTAATGAAAAATCAGGAATTAGAAGACATTTTTGAGAACATTCAAGTAATTGCAAGTGACTTCAGGTAGAGTCCAGTCACATCACTTTTTAACACCTCCGTGCATCTGCATGTTCTCTGCTCCTTACCCCCACTCCTGGCTCTTTGTTACTGACGACTTCTCTCTCACCATAACCTGGTCCTCTGTCTCTCTCTTTCTGGGTGGAACTTGAGAAGGATCTGTTCCATCTCGTCTACTCACAGTCCAAGTAAACATCGCTGCCCATGTAAAGACGCGTGAAACACGCGGTGCTGTTCACTGTTGCGTTCCGTCCCTGCTTCTCCTGGAGGATGGCTGGGATGATGATGGGTGGGAAATGGTGACTTGCAGGTCTGCCTTCCGCCCTGACCCAGCAGGGGTCAGGCAGATGGTCATCCGTCCTGTGTGAGAGTGTGCTTCAGTCACACGAGTTAGTTACTGTGTGAGAAACGTCTTCTGTGTTAAGAAAAGGGTGATTTCTCACATCTAAGAATCTTTATAATTCTTATTTGAGGGCCGTAAGCTATTCGAATGAATATGACTCAAATGTCAATGATTTTATGGTACATTTTTCTCAATAGATTGACAAATTCACACTTGATGGCAGTACTGATATTGCATTTATTTGTTTGTGTTTTGTTACTGCATGTTTTGGTACATAATGACAGCTTTTATCATGGAGAATTGGCACATGAACGTAACACATCTTAATTCTTTTTCTGTCCATTCCTCCTTGCTCTATCCAACTCTTGATCCTCTTCCCATTTGGCAAAGTTCTGTTTCCTTTTTGTTTTCTCCAAGTTTTTTCTCATCCCTTTCCCTCCTTTCCCTTCCTCCTCCTTCCATCTCTTGTTCTCCCCATTTGAAAAAGATCTTGCTACTTCCTATTATCTATCTTTTATTTGGCTGTTTATTTGTATTTTGGGTTTCTCATACAAGAGAAACCATGTGATAACTAATCTTGTTTGATTTACTTCACTTAACATGATGGTCTCAAGATGCATCTATTTACTTATGAATACTTCAAATTTATCCTTCTTTATGGCAGATTAGTACTTTATTGTGTATAAATACCACATATACTTTATCCATTCATCTGCTGATGACATACAAGCCTCTTAAAAAAGATCTTTGGAATCTAGAATCATCAAAAGAAAAGAGAAGGCTATCTTTGTTCAAAAGACATACTTTTTAAACTTGATGATATGTTAGGGAAAGAATTGTTGAAAAGGTCCACCCTTTATCCAGTAGAGATGTTGGCATAATTATTTTATAAAGTTAGTAAGAAGTGCTTGATATCATGATGAAATATATCAGTTGTATATAATCTTTAAGAAAAAGTTTCTGTACTTCAACAAAATGTATTATCTATATTTGTTTTAATATAAAATAAGATTTCTGAATTATATTAATATTGCTTCTGTTTAAAGTGGAGTAAATTCTTTAGAAATAGGATTACTTTTTTCAGCTGGTGATTCTGATTTTTAATCAAAGATGTTGAGTTTATTGAAATAAAGTTGCTCCTATATTTCCCTACCATCCTTCAGCATCTGTAGGATCTGTAGTAATGTTCTTTGTTTCATTTCTGATATTGATGACTTTTCTACCCCTTTACATAAAGATCAGCCTGGTTAGATGTTTATCTATTTCATTGATCTCTGAATACTCATCTTTGGGTTTTATTATTTTCCCGCTATATTTAATATTTCATTGATTCATGCTCTAAAATTCATGTTATCTAATTTCTTCTTATTTCATGTTAATTGGTTCTTTTTTGAACTTCTTAGAATTGATGCATAGGTCAGTAATTTCAGATCTTTCTGCTAATACAACTATCAATGCTATAAATTTTCCTTAAACTATTGTTTTAGCAGTCTGCTACAAACTTTGATGAAATTCATTGTAATTTCCAGTTAGTTCAAATACTTTTCTAATGCCCAGCCACTTTTATCTTTTACATCTAGGTTATTTAGAAATATGTTCATAATTTATCAACCTTTGGATATTTTTTGTAACTCTCTGGTCTTTATCTCCGGTTTAATTCATTGTCAAAGGATATATATTGTGTGCCTGCAAGTCTTTAAACTTTAAACTTATTTTATGGTCCAGGATATACTCTATGTTGGACAAAGTGTATATTCTACTTTTATTTTATAGTGTTCAAAGACAGAGCTAGTCAGTATTACTTGTATGGCCTTTCTGATTTGGTACCTATTTGTTCTTCCAATTTATGACAGAAGAGGTTGAATTCTTTAAGTATAATTTTAGAATTTTTATGCTTATTCACCTGCTATCAGTTTTTGCATCATGATTTGTAATTTCTACCACTATATACTGATATATTTAGAAGTGCTATGCCAGCTTAGTCTGGTGGTACATTCCTATAATCCCAGCATGTGGGAGGCTGAGGTAGGATGATTGCAAATTTGAACCCAGCCTGGGCAACTCAACCACTTAAAGAGATCCTGTTATTGAATAAAAAATGGTTGAGAATGTAGCTCAGTGTAAAGGCTTTGAGTTCAGTTACAAAAAAAAAAAGAGAGAGAGAGAGAGAGAAAGAAGTGGTATTATGCCTCCTAATAAATTTACTGCTTTCCCATTATTAAATATTTTTGATTACTCCTGGTAATAACCCTTATTTTGAAATCTATTTGGTGAACATGTGATAGATTTACCTTGGCAATATAGTGAATATTACCAGCAACAATGTATTGAGAATTAAGTGGGGAAAATA